GAGGCTCATATAAAAAAAAAACTATAGATGTGAAAAAATAAAAATGGAGAGTTTTTTGCACTAACTGTTACTTTTAAACTGCTTTCAAATCTCTACCTGTCAAAAAAGATGGGCGCCATAGTTGTAGAAGAGGGTATCACAAATTTATTATTATTTTTTCTTTATAGCCTATGTAGAGACCTAAATCTTTATCAGCTAGCAAAAATTGATGTCAATGGGGAAATTAACTACTCCTTTTGGCCAAACAGTTTTTTCATACACAAAAATAAAAAATGACCATGTCCACGAAAACACCCATCCCGCCCCACCTACTTAAGCAACCCATCGTTTTCAGGATTGGGAAAAGGCAGTCAGAGATGTAGCCAGGCCAGCGGCCTTGCCCTCTCCGCTGTTTTAGAAAATCCTCTTGTTTTGGCTTTTCTTCCAAAAATTTACAATCTATAATGATTACATCTCTATTATAAAGGTGCCCTAGTGCTCTAGTGTTGCAGGACTCGCCCTAAAAGCACCCCTCTCTGAGAAAAATATATTTTAAAACAAAATTATAGCAATTTTTTGAAAATTCGTTGAATAAAATATAAATACAAAAGTTTTCTTTAAAAAAAGCAAATAAAGATGGACATTGTGGAATCTGGGCATCTTGCGGTCTGCTTCAAAAAAGTCTACCAGGGCTCGTGGTGAAGTTGGTGTTCTGTTTGAGATGATGATGTCATCGGCCACCATAGGTCTGTGGATTGCCCATTGGAATTGATGAGGTGAATATCTGACGCTATTAGTCTGATATCCATGAGCCTCTTTCTTTCTCAGGGAGTTCACAAAAATAACACATCCTGCTATAAAAAGATATATAGTTTGCGTGTATCCTGCACGCACTGGGGTTAAAAAAGGAAGGACATAAACTCTGGTTAAATTTACATTATATATTTATTTATCTCTTTTGACCAAAAGAAAAACACAAAGATAAGAAAAAAAAAATGCAATGACGATTGAGTGGGAAAGTTTACATATATATATACCTGTTTGGAAAAAAATCATTATAAAAAGAAAATACTTAACTTTAGTGCTTCTTTTGTTGGAAGGCTGGAGACCCCTCCCCAATAATTCTTAGAACTACATTTTTAACGAGCTTCCCTCTACTATCTTATCTTTTTCTAACCAGCACCGCCCCCCCCACTAAAACTTCCTCGTGACTATCTTATCTACCACTGACCAGCTCCCCCCAAAAACTTGCTTGCCACTAACTTTTTCCTCCCAGGGTGACCAAACAAAAATTTAAAAAAATTAAAATAAATCTTTATCTGTGATAAGAAAGACATTTAAAAAAATAAAATTATAATAAAAAATTATCTTTCGAAATATTAATTTAAAAATATTAATTAAAAAATAGAAAACCCAAAATAACTGCTTATTTAAAATAGAGGAAAAATTTATTATAGTACTATATGTTATTTAAAAAAAAAAAAACTAGAAATAAAAAAGGAGGTGAAGAGATGGGCTGGTTTTTTTTACAGAGAAGAATTCTCGAAGTCCGCTTCATTGTCCACCGGCTTTTCTTTGATTCTGTGGGTGACTTTGTGGAGGCCCCAGAAGTGGCCTCTACAATCCTTTCCCGCCAAGACCACGGGATTTGGGCTTGCGAGGGAGCAGGACTATCTCCGGGGTCAAAGGTGGAGGTCATGGATGCTCTGGCTTGCGAGGGAGCAAGGCAAATCTCCGGGGTCAAAGGTGGAGGTCATGGATGCTCTGGCTTGCGAGGGAGCAAGGCAAATCTCCGGGGTCAAAATGGAGGTCAGGGATGCTCTGGCTTGTGAGGGAGCAAGGCAAATCTCCGGGGTCAAAAGTGGAGGTCAGGGATGCTCTGGCTTGCGAGGGAGCAATAGCACTGTCTAAAAAATAATAAAAATATCAAAACAAAGGGCGCCATGCATTCTATTTATTCGCCAGTTGAATGCAAGACTGGCTTTTTTAATTCCACTCTGTGACACGGATAGTATTGTGATAGGTATATCCGAGTCTTAGGGTGCCTGGAACACAAGGGTTATAAACACATATATACATCTATTTATATGTAAGATTTGACACATTTGTGGGAAGGTGCATACCTACTAGTTAAAAAAAATAATGCTTAGTGACTAAAATAGAAGTAAAAGAGCCAATAATGAATCCAAAACTAAAATAAATAAATAAAAGGCCAATAATGAAATCAAACAAAAATATTAATTAAAAAATAGAAAACCCAAAATAACTGCTTATTTAAAATAGAGGAAAAATTTATTATAGTACTATATGTTATTTAAAAAAAAAAAACTAGAAATAAAAAAGGAGGTGAAGAGATGGGCTGGTTTTTTTACAGAGAAGAATTCTCGAAGTCCGCTTCATTGTCCACCGGCTTTTCTTTGATTCTGTGGGTGACTTTGTGGAGGCCCCAGAAGTGGCCTCTACAGAATGAGACATTTATGTATAGTCCATGCTGGATTCTGGCTTGGCGCTTGTAGGGTCAAGTCTGCCACCATGGATCATGTGGTTGGACCACAGGGAAGGGGCGTTTGAGTCTATCTTAGACTTTGGCCGTGCTGTCAAGACTTAAGGCTCCAGGATACATCTATCCTGCGCTTTGTAGCTTTGAGAAGGATATGAATTGGTTAGGTGGAGTTTTTGGAGAATCGTGGCACATTATGTTACAAAGGTTATGAAGGTGTTCTAACAGACTTTGTTATGGTATTCCAGAAGCCTAGGTGTTTTCTTCTGTATAATAACAAAAATTAAAAGAGGCTTAAGGTTCTTTAATATAGAGAATTACAGCTGCGCATTATCAATGGTGTTGAAGAGAAAAGTAGTCATTTTAAAAAGGAGTTAGGTAATATTTCCATTTAGTATTCTGTTGAAAGTAGGTCCTTTGGAGAGTATCAAACGTTCATTTATCTCTATCACAAAGCAAATTTAAAATAAATAAAGGTAAAAATAATATCATAAGGGGGTATTTTAAGATCATATTCTCTTTTATGGACCAGAGTTTAAATCTTTCATTATAAAAAAATCTGTGACTATGATTATAATATGACCAAAATATGTCACCAAATAAGCCCTATGAAGACCGTTAATTTAGAAAAAAATATGTATTACTTATATAATTATGCTGTTTACAGATCATTCATAGGAAATAAAAGAGAATATGAAGTTGAAAGTCTTAATTTACTTAAAAAAAAAGCCCAATTTAATTCCTGAAAAATTTTCATATAAAATTAAATATGTGATTCTTACTGACTAATATTCAAATAACCATTCAAAATTCAATGCATTATTGAAAATTTGTTCTGGTAAATATATAAACCTTAATTTTCTAAAAAAAAAAAAAAACTTCATATTCAATCTATATTTTTAATAAACATAATTATTAATTTGAAAATTAATAAATACACTTTGAATATTGATATTTCACATTGAATAATAAAATGTAGGTATTTTTAATTCCTAAAGCGAACGAATATGAAAAAATTTAATTGTTAAACAGATAAAAATATAATTAGAAAATTTGACGCTAGATGGCGTAGATTTGTGTGCGATCAAGGTAAACATAAGAAATATTTGTGTTTAGCGCCACGGATACCTACGTATTGTTCTTCCAGATGATTTGTTTTTAGTCAAACTGGATTTCTTGGAGACGCTCATCTATTGTGAAGATATACTATGCCGGATAATACAAAGTAGGTTTTTTCACATTTCTATATTCTACTGTATCTTTTGGAAATATTTTACTAAATATACTTTGAAATCACAAAGGATGTTACTCACATTTTTCAATTAAATTAAGAAATTTAGGTATAAAAACTAAAACAAAAAGATAAATTACTTTATTTTTAAATGGAAAATCATTTAACAGAGATTCACTTATTAATTTGTTAAAAATATATTCATCATATTTACTCGAATTAATCTTCAATGCATTTTTTTCGTAGGAGATTTTCGTCACATTTTAAAAATAAAATCGTAATAATTTTTAATGACAGATATCAATATATATATTTTCACTTTTGAATATAATAAAATAGATAATATCATACAACAAATCTAAAGGATATAGAAATACATATTTTGATTAGAGAATTTAAAAAAGGACATTTAAATAATATGACAACACTAAAATTTCAATTTTGACAACAGATATATAATTATTTTAAATTTCAGCTAAAAATCTAAACTAAAGAGTTAATATATCAAATATAAAGTTTACTTGTTTTAAGATTTAATACAAAGAATTAACTGTAATAATTTTGAGGAATAATATTTTTTTTTTACATATTTATATATTTTAAATGTAGCTTTGTTTATAAACACAGTTTAAAACAAAATCAAAGCTAGTTGAGTATTTTTTAAGCTAATATATATTTATAAACACAAATATTTATAATTGAATAAAACAAAGCATCAAGGGCTGCGTATCTTAATTCGAACAAATATATACGAGCTTTCGGGCACATATTTATATTAAAATAATACCTTTTAAAGAAATAAAAAAAAAAAAATTCTAATTCTCAATATTATTACAAATTTATATATTTATAATTATATTTAATTCTGCTGTCCTAAAAGCTTATGTCCATAGTTCTTCTAAAATACCCATTCCAAGATTCCTACAACGGTCACCTATAAAAGGAAGTTCCAAAAATGCAATATAACAGCGGTATGGTAGATTAAACTGGCGAAACCGCTGGGAGGGTTCACCACTGATGAGCCAGGCCCTCCCTTTAATTTTTCATCGCAGTAAGGACAGTAGAAATTATTTTATTTTAAAAAGAATAATACGCCACTAAAATAGTTTTATAATTATTACAAATGTTGACCCAACATGTACGTCTGCTTTAAAATTCATAGAGTGTTTAGTATTTGAATCTATTGCACTGATATATCTCACTACCTGTTGTTTACTTTTGATAAATATTGAATCTTTTATGTTGATTTAGGTTTAGGTGTGGCTATAAAGGGCAATAAACCTTTTGCTTGAGTCTATGGCCACATTGAAAGCACTTGTTCTTGTCTGATAACCAAAGTTAAGCTATGTTGGGCCTGGTCAGTACTTGGGAGGGTGACCACTTGGGAACATCTGTGGCTATAGGCTTTTACTTTCTGGACTTGAAATTCATACATTTTGGTTAGTCTTCTTATTTCTTATCTCCACTCAATCATATTTAGGGTATCAAGCTTGTAAAGCTTAAAACCATCATGACTGTGTGAAGTATAATGCGTCTGCCTTTGTCATTAAGACTGGGAGCGCTACTCAGTGGCAGGCCGAATTAGCTCCAAAATAAATGACCACCTATGACATGAGGAACAGCCACTCCTAATATGGAGTACAAACGCTGCTCATCCTGTATCCCTGGATTAGGAGCCCTTACAGGGTACTATCAACCGGGCTAGCTGAGCCTAGGTTGTTTAGTGAGCTTTGTTACTGCTCCCCCTCCTCCTTTTTCATCCGGGCTTGAGACCAGCAAAGGCGGAGTTTCTTTGGTTAGTAATTCGTATAAAACTATATTCTCTCTAACTTTCTTGAATTTGTACCTGAAGGATAAACCTACAATATGTCATAACATACTCTCTTCAAATACAAAAGACTCATTCTACCATTTTTAATCTCCAAAGAAAATAAAAGCATAAACAGAAGATGTGAAAAAATAGTACAAATGTGATATTGTACTAGGATTAAGGTTCATAAATTAAGAAAAAGGTGTATTTTTATCGTACAATTTAAAGTTACTGATGGCTTGCGCCATCTATCGGAATAAATATCATGCCTTTTTCTTATAAACAGATCTACCCAACAGTTCCAGCATTTTCAACACAGATATAATTCCCACCCTCCATTGAAACTGTCCTCCTAACCCTCTATAACTGAAAACTATTTTTATATTTGGTTTTTTATGTATTTCTGTGAATCTCTTATTTTATTTATTTAGAAAAAAAAAAAAATATTATATGTATGTTGTACGACTTTGTGGAACCACTGACCTGATGAAGCGAGACTGCCTGAAAGCTTGCCTCCCAATTTCTACATAAAAGAAATTCTGCTAATATTTTTTTATATTTAGATACAAGAAAATAAGACCTAATCCAAATAAATTAATAGTGTGTGATGTTTCGGTAACAGTGTTGTTACCATCATCAGACAAAAGAAAAAAATGAGAAAAAATATGACAGCAAGTTCTTAAATAATGATAACAACACTGTTATCGAAATGTCACACACTATTTTTTTTATTCGGATTAGGTCTTATTTTCTTGTATCTATAATCTAAATTGCTCTTTACCCAATTTTTATATTTATTTAATTCAATTACTTGAATTTACAAAAATACAAACAAATATACCTCATTGAGACATGCCGGGGGAATAAAAAAAAAAAAGAGTCCCAATTATCAGAAGTCCATATTTACCAAAAAATGATGATTTTAATGTGAATTTATGGATATTATGAGTAAAGAGATAATAATGAATTGGTAATAAGTAGCAAGTAATGAGAATTGACTTTAAAAAATAAATTTATTTTTATGAGTAAAGCTACAAGAAAATAAGACCTAATCCAAATAAATTAATAGTGTGTAACATTTTGTTAACAGCGGTGTTACCATTAGACAAAAGAATAAAATTATTTTTTTCTTTCATTTATTCTTTTGTCTGATGATGGTAATAATGCTGTTACCAAAACGTCACACACTATTTATTTATTTGGATTAGGTCTTATTTTCTTGTATCTATAATTCAACAACAACAACAAAAAGCCTTTATTCAGGGTCACTGACCCTATACAGGATTCACCAGAGGTATGCATAAGAACAAAGCAGTGAGACAAAGGAAATAACGATATATACAGAAGAAAAGGAAAAAAAAAAAATAAGAAGAAAAAAAAAACAAGAAAGAGAAAGAGGGAAGCAAGAAAAACAACACAAAAAGAGTAGCAGTAAGAAAGTGAGGAGTGAGTGTCACTTGGCCTTCTTCTGAGATATGGACTTGTGGAAACCATAAAACGCCGTAGCAATATACTTATTCTGGGTCATATTGTCAATTATTGATGGAAGTGAAGCACAGAGTTGCCCAGTTTTGAGCATAAGGGTTCTTCTTTCTTCTTTCAGAGCATAGCAATCAAAAATATAGTGAGTGATTTCATTTTTTAGTTTTGAATTACAGAAGGTACAAATCGGGTCCTCACCGCAGAGCATCTTGGTGTGGTTTTCTCTAAAAAAACTTGAAAGTATTCTAACTTGTGCGAGTAGTCTTACAACCGGGAAAGGAAAATCCCCTAAAAGGTATCCCTCCGTCATGAAAGATATGTGAATGTCTTTGTAGTGAGAGTATAGCTTAGATTTATCCATTCTTGTAAGGTCGTTTTGTATAGATTGGTCTGCCGCTGTTTTTAAGAGCCCTGTAATCGCGCTCCTCAGCGTTTCAGGATCATCACAGGAAACAAGTGCAGGGGATCCATTATTGTTAAGCAGATTGGTGAGCTTTTTAATGAAACCGATGGGTGTGCCCGAGGCATTAGACAGTTCCCGTGTTCTATTAAAACACATACGCGGCAACCTGTCACTGCTCATATTCAACACCCGCAGCCAATACTTCAGGGTTAATTTTAAAGCTGTTACACTCAATGAGATACGACCGGTTTCTAATCTGATTATGTAGCCTGGAGTGAATCCGGGCAGATTCAGGAACCTACGGATAAATATGTCTTGTATACTATCCAATAAGTCTTTATGCTCTGTTGCCCACAATGGAGCGGCATACATCAGGACAGCTCTCACTATTGTATCAAAGAGTTTGATTGATAAATTTATTGACTTTGCTTTTGATTTTATTAATATTGGGTGTGTGGGCGTTAATGGCTTTTCCTTTAAAGTAATTTGCCGGATGAGTAGTTGTTATTGTTGGTGTCAGAGGGAATCCCAAGTATGTATATCTCGAAGTTATTGTTATGGGTTTATCATTCCAGAACCATCTATCCTTATTTGAGGGTTTACCTCCATTACGGAATACCATAATCTTTGACTTGGACTCATTTAGTGTCATTAAGTTCTCATCGAGATATTCTCTCAGTATTTTGATCTTCTTTTGGAGGTTCATCCTGGACTCACCTATAATTGCTATGTCGTCGGCGTACAAAAATAAATGGATATCTCCAAATTCTGGCAAATTTACACTCGTCAGGTCTGAATTATTATAAATTTCGATTAAGTCCGTGATAAATAATATAAAGAGCAGTGGGGAAAGTGGTTCTCCCTGGAGGACTCCCGAGTTTATCTTAATACTTTCCGTGAATGATCCCTTCCATCTGATAGCTATAGTTGCTTGTTCGTAGTAACTTCTGATCGTACTTATGAATTGGTAACTTATGCCTAGGTTGTAAAGTTTTTTCCAAAGTATTGAGTGAGGTACAGTATCAAATGCCTTCCTTAGATCGACAAAAAATACATATAGTTTTCCCCTCTTTTTTCTTAATGATAGTTGGATTAAAGTAGTTAGTGTAAATATGTGGTCAATACATGATCTTCCTTTTCTATATCCCGCTTGGTTTTCCGGTATAACCCTTCTGTATCTATAATTCAAATTTTTTGAATAATTTTTGTAAATTACTCTTATTCATTAATTTTTTTTTAAAATTATCCCTAGTACACGTGGTACAGGCCATGATAATCATGGTGGGTAGTTAGCGACTGCTTTTACTGTAAGCGCACCACATGTCTACACATGTGAAAAGCAGTTTGACTTTGCACTTACAAATGTGCCAGAGCCCCGTTTGGTTACTTGCACTTGCTGGTGGGGTTGGACTTTTGCAAGAATCGGGGGCCATTGGAGCATTTTTCTTTTTAAATCAGAAAAAAGTGTCCAATGCGGGAATCGAACCCAGGTCGTAGTGGTCGAAAACCAAACGGTTTAACCAGCCTTCCACCGACCCCCTATATTAAAATAATAATTTTTAATTTGCAAAACAGCTTTAAAATATAAAAATTCTATGCAATATTTAAAAAAAATGTATCATGAAACATTTTTATATTGTATAATAGATAAAATATATTACATGGAATTTTTTATTTTAGAATTTAAAAACCTAAGGGATAATAAGACACCAAATTCAAATAAATAATGTATGATATTTCTGTAACAACGCTGTTATTGAAAACCACACACAATTTATTTATTTGGATTTGGTCTGTATCAGGATTCAGACAATAACTCTGTCTGATTTCCGCATACATGTTTATACTCATGAAGAAAATTTAAGGATGTTGTGACTTTTAGCATGTATATCGGGATTGAGACAATAACCCTGAAAGATATTACAGTGACCTTTATTGAAGACAACACGAGATAACTACACTCATGGACAAAACTTAAGGAAGTTGTACCTTTTAGCATATATATTGGGATTCAGACAATAACTCTGAAAGATATTACAGTGACCTTTATTGAAGACACACGAGATAACCACACTCATAGACAAAACTTAAGGAAGTTGTACCTTTTAGCATATATATTGGGATTCAGACAATAACTCTGAAAGATATTACAGTGACCTTTATTGAAGACAACACGAGATAACTACAGCCTTGAAAAAAATAGATGGCCGGTGACATCGAAAACTTTTCACTTTCTTAAGTTTTGTCCATGAGTGTATTTAAGAGAGAGAGGTTCTCTACTGTACTAAGATAGTCTGTTTTGAAGCTTAGATAGTTGTGTGCTTTATCTTCTCTGACAAGGTGCACAGCTGCGGTGATTTGTTGTGTACTCCGGTGTTGTTTTTGGAAATGTTTCCTCAATCTCTGGTGGCACCACCACCATAGTAGTGTAGATTTAAGTGGGAGGATTGTCATCTACAATAGCTGTGGCTGTGTTTCTGGCAACCTTCTCAAGAAGTCTGGTACAGTAGAACTACCTCCCTGTAAAGGACACCTAATTGCAGAGCCAAAGTCCTTTAGAGAGAGGTGTCCTCTTACCGGAGAGTTGATAAATAGTAAAAATGGTAATTTTGCAAATGAAAACTGTCCTTTGTGGAGAGGTGTCCGCTAAAGGAAGGTTCTACTGTACTGGGTATGAGGAAAGCAACAGGAAACACCTTCCTAATCATTTC